TGGGAAGGACTCAACAGGTGGATAAAAATGCCAAATCCAGTCTAAACATCTGGCTGACTGTCTCACCATATTGTTTATGGGAGAGACACTTCGTCTGGCTCCTCTGATGAGTCCTATCCAGTATGGTTGAACCTCTGGCATACTTCTCATCCTCCTCGGAGCATGCAAGCCCCACAACCATGTTAAGGTAGTGCCTCACTGGGGGGTTATTTTTTAATTATTTTTTATTTTTATTATTATGGTTGGTTGCACAGTCAACCAGATGTTTAAACTGGATTTAGCATTTTTTCCCACCTATCGAGTCCTTCCCAAGGACCTGGGTTAGGCAGATGTTATTTGATAGTGTTAAAGGTATCGTCGCAGGATATATGCTGTTCCAAGTAAAGCTTCCTTTTGCTATTATTATTATTATTATTATTATTATTATTATTATTATTTTCAGCAGGAATTATGCCATATTTTAGTAGATGTGAAATTGCTTCCCTTACCATCATTCCCGCTGACAATGTAGTCTGGATGGAAAGTTTGAGTAGTTTTATTACAACTAGATGTATTAAGAGAAGGCACTAATAATTTTCTTGGCGTTTCTGTTGTATTTTCATTCTGTTTGTCTACTGCCTTGCATTTTTTGTTCAATCTTCTGATCTCCTCTTCCAGGGACTGTCTATGGTCTGCAAAAATAAAAATGCCCATTTAAGGTTGAGAACTTGCAGATATGAAAATAGCTTTGACTGCCTAGTTACATTTATAAATTAAAAGGAAAATATCCAAAAATTCTCAAATGTATCTTTTCCCAGAACAGCAATAATATTGGTCTGCTGCAGCAAAAACAACAACGTTTTATGGTATATTAATGACTAAATGTATTACAAGTTTTAACAGATTACAGACTTCTTAATAAGACATATACTTGTATATAAAGCTTCATATTATAAAATAAATAAGTTTCTTATTGTTGCTAAAGTTAAGCCTTCATTATGTTTTCAAGAACTGACTAGAGTAGCTTTTGTTTGGTATCTTTTTAAAGAGTAGGATAAGAAGGATGATTCCAGAAGCAGTTTCAATTCCATATAGTGAAAAAAATGAAATTTTATTGTTTAAAATTTCAGACAGCTGAGAAGGATGTATTACAAAGATATATGGAAAAGGGAGAAATAGTACCATGGAACACACTATTTATTGTTATGTATTGTTATATTTGTATATATACCTATTGCAGAAGGAAAACATTAAAGAATTCTTTGACAAATTACAAGAGATGCTAAATGAAAAAAAGGGCATAGTATTGCTAATGAGTGACTGAATGCAAAAGTTGGAAAAATTAAAGAACCTGGAATCACAGAAACATTTACTTGGGTAGACACAATAATGTAGGAGAGTTCTACAAATATATATTTTTTTATTGCCAACACCTGCTAGAAACAAAATGCAGACTTTGTACATGGATGCCACCAGATAGACAGGATTGGGAGTATATAGTAAAAAACTGCAGATGAATAAATCAATCTGTTCAGAAGGAAATGCTCAGGTACATACACTTAGAATATAGGGTCAATGTATGAAACAGATTTAATAAGAAAAACTTGAGGAACTATGGAAAGACAGAAACATTTGCAGAGAAAATATATATTCAGAAACCTTTCCACTAGTAAGTCATGTACAAAGGCAAAAATTCACTAAACTGTTTAAAGCTACAGGAGAAGACACAGTTAAAGAGCTAACTGTTCTATGTAATAAATATGAAACAAACTGGATTCAAAACTGGAGACTGAAATGCTAATTAATTGTCTGATAGGTATGCTTTAGTCCTATGAGATTCCTCAAAGAATATAAACATTTAGAAGAATATAAACCCAAGAGAGAGCCGGTTTGGTGTAGTGGTTAAGGCACCAGGTGGGAGACTATGAATTTTAGTCCCACCTTAGGCATGAAGCCAGTTGAGTGACCTTGGGCCAGTCACTCTCTTTCAGCCCTACAAAGGAGGCAATGGCAAACCACTTCTGAAATCTTACCAAGAAAACTGCAGGGACTTGTCAAGGCAGTCGCTAGGAGTCAACATTGACTTGAAGGCACCAAGAAACAAAAACAACAAACACAAGAGAAGCTTTTTGTTAAAATAGACTTATATTTATAAAGAGATATAGAGATACGAGTCAGTAAATCAAATCCATTTTATTACCAGGAATAAATAAAACTTCAGCAGAATTAGTTGTACCTGCATTTTGTATTTTCATTTTGATGTCATCAGAGGAAGTTGCCTGATTGTTAAGGGTCTCCATTTCTTTTCTCATTTCTGCAATAACAGACCTCAAGGTATTGTTCTGTTGCTGTAATCTCTGGATATCAGCAGGAGGAAAATGTTCAAAAACTCCTTCAGTACCCTATGGGTAACCAAGAAATTAAGGAAATTATCAACACTGCCCCCCTCCAAAGGAGAATAAGTAACTCAAAGAAGCAAACAAAATTGCACTCAGTATACAGCAAAATTATCAGTAAAAATCATTCTAATGATTCTAATCCATATGCACAAAAAAGGAACAGTATACAGTTAATAATCTTAAAAATGTCTGAGAAACTGTTCTAGTTAGCTATTACTCATACACACAAACACACACCAGTAATAATCAAAATTTGGCTAGAGGCAACTTCTGTGAATTAGAGCAGCAGTTCCTACTTATGAAGAGGTCGGTTTGCAAAATACAGTTAAAGGCTTTTTCAAGAATCATAATGCAAGGTTACCATACATTTCCCAGATATTTGATGGGTATTATTGCTAATCCTTTATTAGGTTTCAGTAGTTAATTTATGATTCTGAGCATTAATCAACACAAGCTCTCTTTTAAATTTTAGAAAGAATTCTCTCTCAACTTGTATTGTGTATATCATCTTTCATCTTCCAAGATGGGGACAAAGTTTTGCCTAATGCTATGCAGAACTGCCACCAAGCAAAATAGATAATACTGAAATAGACAAAATAGCTATAAGGTAGCCTCGTATGATCAATATATGAGAAATATTTTCCAGGAAATTAAATGTCACATGTCAAATCAAGATATACTTTGGGGAGTCTTTGGGATTCTCTGAGCTTGGTTGTTTCCTTGCAGACATTTCGTTACCTAGGTAACATCTTCAGTGCTAGAAGAGAGAGGGGTTTACTCTCTGTTTATATACAGTAACTTGCCCTGCCAGTGTTGGTGGGGGTGTTGTTTTCTCCTTGGTAATTTCTTGATTAGACTGTTGTTAACTGCTTGATTGTTTGTCTGAGTTGGTAGTTCTTTGATTAGGGTATTGTTTACTGCTTGTCTGGTGTTGATCCTAGTCTTAATCCCTGCTTATCTGGGAGTTGATTGCTAGTGAGGTATTCTGGTCTTCTTGTTTCCTTTTTATTGTCTCTTTTGAATAGTGTGTAAATGTTGTTTATATGCCTGTTGATGGCTGCCTTGTCTGAATACCAGACTTCCAGGAATTCCCTTGCATTTTTGGATTTAGCTTGGTCTAAGTTAATGACAATTTCTCCATTGAAACTATGGTTAAGTCTGTCTATGGGTTGTGAGATTAAGGAGTTTTCATCATGTCTTCTGACTGCTAGCCTATCTGTCCTACATAGTGACTGTTATAGTCCATACACTGTATGTTGTAGATGACGCCTGTTTTTTCTTCCTGGACTACTGGGTCTTTTGGTTTACTTAAGATGTTTTGGAGGGCTTTAGTTGGTTTGTGTGCTACAGTGATGCCATGCGGTTGTAGTAGTCTGTTGGTTGTTTCTGATGTATGGCAGTGTTATCCTCTTCATAGCTTGAGTTGGTTGTGTTGTAGTGGGTTGAGTGGTCAGGCACTTTTTGATAAA